ATCAACCTCATCCTGATTTGGTTTTTGTTTTTTTGTGTTTTTTTTTTTTTTGTACCGGGAATCGAACTCGGGTCCTCGCGCTTGGAAGGCAGGCAGCCGAACCACTAAGCTAAATCCCCGGCCCACCAGATCCTGATTTGGAAGGATGAGGTGGAGTGTCACTCCTTTCTAGGTGTGCAGGCATTTGAAGCTGATGGATCAGCATAAACAAAGGCACAGCAGGGGCAGGGGGCAAAAACTGCACGGTGCACTCAGGAAATCACAAATTCTATTTTAACAGGCAGACTTCTCAGGGGTCCTTTGAACCAAACCATTTAACTTGAGGACAATATGAGTCAGAAATAGACAGGTATAGAACAGGCAAATATAGTTCTTTTTTGAGTATGAAAGTGAAAATAGGTCAGTGATCAGCACTGGGAGAATCAGGTAACTGTCAGACCCCTCCAGGCCCATGGGATCTGGCCAGCAGTGCCGAGGGATGGGGAAAGGAGACACACCTATCTCCAGAGCACACCCCTTCTTGCAGACTGAGGGCTCCCGCACAAACTGCTTCCTGTACGCAGGACTCTACCCAACAGAAGAACTCTCAACGGGGGTGGAAAGGACGACCAAGTCCTGAGACCACTCTTAACATATCCAAAGCTATTGCTTCTCTTATTGGAATTATTATTCTATATGAATTTATACTGCATTTGCTATATATTAGTATATATAATTATTTATTAAATATCTACAACGAGCCAGCTATAATACCATGTGCACTTTCCTCACATGACCTTCCATCTTAGGGCAACTCTGCAAAGCAGCCATGGGCATCCCCCTTGCCAAGAGCAAATACGGCACTCCACGCCTCACCCCATCAGCCTGGCTCAGTCTGTGCGTCCCGTGTGAAAGCCCAAGTGTTTCCACTACACTACTTCTCTCACTTCTCAAGTGCTGGATTCAAACATTTGTGTCTCAACTCCTGCAAAGTTCACTCTGTTCTCAAAAGAAACTGAAATATAATCTAAGACATAGCCGTAACAGGAAGAGGCCTGGCTCCCATCCCACAGGAGGTCACCTCAGCCATCCCAGCTGACCGCCAGTCCTGCTTGACTCCTGGGCTAGGGCAGGAACGAATGATGCCCAAGTCAGGATCCCTGATGACGCCTGGTCTTGCTCAAAGACGGTCCAGGCTACAGAGGTGCATAAGACTGTTCGAGTGGTCCCTACAAGTAGGAAAATAAAAACTTGAGGGACACTCCAAGTTGCAACCAGGCCCTCAAATCCTCAAGTTCAAGTCAGCTCTGAGCCAGCAGCCGCTGCTGGAAACAGGGTGGCACGGGATGATGAGAACAGTGAAGTTCTGGGTGCTCACTGGGAGGCGCCATTCCCATGCTGCCCGTGATCTCCCCTGTGGGCTGGTGCTTGCCTTCCGCGCTCACCCACACCTGGCCAACGGCTCCTCCTTCCGGTGACATCGTTTGTCCTTCTTCCCCGACACTGTCCTCCTGCCTCTTGCTCAGTCTCCTTTGGTGCCTACCCCTCATTTTGCGACCTCTCAGTATCAAGTCTCATCCCCATCTCCGTCTCCGTACTGCTCGGCTGAGCTCATCTTGTTTCCCCATCCCCGCCCTGTGACACCCACATTGCTATCCCTGGCCTGGGCTCATGTCCCAAACTCCTGATCTGTTCACCTACTACTATTTCTACATTTCTGCAGACCTGAGTAACTGGCTTCTCAAACTGCACATCTATCACGAATCTGGTTGTTTCCCAAACCCACCCTTCTCACGATCTCCCAATTCTACAAACTGCATGTCTAGTCAGACTGCTCAGGCAAAAATCCCCAGAACCACCTCGAGGCCGCTCATCCTTTCACAGCCCAAATACCCATGATCTGCAAATCCTATAGGCTCCACCTCCGAAGCATTTTCAGGTCCACCTCCGCACAGCCACCCTGCCCCATCAGCAGCATTTCTTCTGGATGGTTATAACAGTCCCTGGTCCTTTCCCTCCCAGGCTACTGCCAACAGAACATCCAGAGCTACACCTGAGTCAGGTCAGGTCAGGTCTCTGTTCAGTGCTTTCCGCCTCACACTGTGCAATAGCCAATACCCCCCAAAAGACCCATGAGGTTCTACACGATCCCCCATCCCCATGTCTGCTATCTCTTGGAGCCTATCTCCTGCTGCATTTTCTCTTGCTCCTTCCATTCTGGACATAGCAGCTGCTACATTGTTCTGCAGCCATAGTACTCTGGTTCTGGCCACAGGGACTTTGCACTGCTGTTCTTCTTCCTAAGATGTACTTCCTCCAGACACCCACCTGAATTTCTCATCTTACTAATGAAGCCTTCCCAGATCATATCTATCAAACCATATCCCCACTTATCACCTCCCATAGTGACGGAAGTGGGGGGTGCGGTCTGCAGGAGGCAAAAAGTAGGTGAGGTAGAAGATGCAGGGATCACTTTTTGGTTACGCTTTAAATTCTTGAAGCATTTCTTATTCTCTAAATTGTTCTCTCATCTCTGTTTCTTCTGGTACCTTTCCTTGCAAACTGGACTTTCCAGGCTGCAACAGATGCTGGCAGCTGGCTCAGGGTAAGGCTGGACCCCTCTGGCCCTGGCAGGACAAGAGAGACAGGCAAAGGTCACAAACCCCAGAGGTGACCTGAGTAGATGGCCAGCAGGGGCCACAATTGTCCCAGCTCCTGATTGCTGCTGGCCTGGAGTTCGCACACCATGTTCCCAGGCCTAGCTCTGCCAGGGCTCTAAGTGGGAAAAGCCAGGATCTCCATGATCCCTTCCATCCTGAGCCACCCACTCATACATTTAACAAGCACCTGCTGTGTGCCAGCCCTGTGCTAGGATAACCTCCCTGTCTGCAGGCGCTCACATGCAGTGGCCAACAGGTAATCTAATGATTATAACTATTTTTTTAAATGTAGTATGACATGGGCTCTAATAAAACACATAAAGAGCCCCATCACCCAAGCAGTGGCTGCGCCTCAGGACAGAGACACTGCCGAAACAGCGACATCTGAGAAGCACATCACTCGCATCGCTAAGAAGGGGCTGGGAGGCAAAAGGGAGGCAAGGTCTAATCTCAACATACAAAATCTAGAATCTCAAGCTTTCATTTTAATGTTTTTTTTTCTTCATGTGGTAAGGCAAGAGATGAAAACTGTTTCTTAAGAACATTAATCAAGAAAAAACTGTGGAGGAACTTACATTAACTTTAAAGGTCTGTACCAACCCATCTAAAAAGCGTATGCTGCAGACGACTTCGGATCGAGCTTTCTCTTTGGGTAATTCAGAGGTGCGTATGTTATTAATTCTTCCACCCAGCGCACGTAACCGGGAGGTCATAACTATTGTTGGATAACCTGTAAAGGAAGACATCCCTATTAGTGCTTTCATACGCTAATTACCAATTACCAAAAACAGGCCTCACAGCCCACCCAGTGCCCTCTACACCTGTTGCTTTGATAGACGAACCAACTGAAGAACTCCCGGGTAATGAGCACTAAATAAGGAACTGTGTTTCCATTTGAGTTTTGACTTAGAATCTTTAAGTAACATTTATTGCTCAATTAGAACATTCCTAGAATTACATCGTTTATTTGTTATTATCGCCCAGGTCTATATCTTCTTCTAATTCTGATTTCCCAGGCTTTAAACTTTTTATATTTTACTGTCTAGGTGTTTGTGTATTCTACCTCTCAAATTTCACAGGACTAAGTATGGCATAAATAGGATTTGAAACTTGAACAGATTTATCAGTTGAATTATATTAAAAGTAGTAACTTCTATTTATTAAAAGGTAACATTTCGAAGACCAAAGGGCAAACCACAGAGAAAGAGGTTTGTGTAATATACAGATCTACAAAGGTTATATAAAGTGTTCCTATGACTCAATGAGAGAAAAAAACACAATAAATGAAAACAGGTACTCAATGATAGTGCCTGTCAAAGAAATGCAAACGGGGACCCCACTTAGCACCACATAACCAGAGAAAAGAGCTGCGGTTTAAGACACACAGAACTGGGAGAGTGTGCACCAGGTGCAACTCTCATGTATCGCTGATGAAAACATAAGCAAATGCAACTACTTTGAGAAACCTAATACCAGCTGAGCTGTACTGTGACACAGCAATCCCATCTCTAGGCATGTGTGCAACAGAAAGATAGACAACTACTCACAGAAAGATATGTACAAGAACTTTCATAACAGCTTCAAACTGCAAAACACATAAACAGCCATCATCTGTAGAATGGAGAAACTGGTAGTTTCACTCTCTCTCTCTCTATACACACACACACACACACACACACACACACACACATGTATAGTAGTTACACTACTATACTGCAAAGAAATGGGTTACTGTGACATGCAACAATAGGAAACAATTTCTTTACTGTTTCCATGAGCAAAGGAAACTGCACAACAGACGACCTATGGCATGGTTCCACTTGCATACAATTTTTAAAAAGGCAAAACTAATCGACGCTGATAGAAGACAGGCTAGTGGTTACCTTTGGGTGATGGGTGTAGTGATGGGGGGCAAGGGTTCTTTGGAGATGCTTTTAACATCTCATGTCTTAGTGTGGGTACTGGTGACACTTTTGAACTCATTCTGTAAAAATTCAGGCAATATATTCATATCTGTACAATTTTCTACATATAACTCTGCTACATTTTAATATGGTTTGTCTCCCCCAAAGTCTACTGTGACTGGGGACTTGGACCCAGGGTGGTGCTGTAGGAAGTGGTGGAAACCTCTGGGAGGCTGGAAGTTTGAGGTGTTTATCCCCGGATCCCCTTGGTAGCTCTTGCCAGAAGGTGTTACAGAATACATAAGCCAGAGCCCACCCCAGTTCTCCCCTTTACTCCTGACACTTTGAGCTATAATCACCTGCTTCCTCCTGTGTGTGCTCCCACATTGCCATCTGCCATGCTGTGATGCATTGAGAAGTGAGCCAGTGCCAATGCAGTGCCCCACGTTGCAACCCCCAAAACTGTGAGTTAAGCCTCTTTTCATAAATTGTACATCAGGCATTGAAAAGCTGACTAATACAACACTGTATTTTAGTAACAAGTTTACTTTAAAAAAAAAAAAACACCCTTGCATTTACAAGGAGGGAATTAGTGGGCAGTTTAAAAATCTGACCCTGGTATTTGGCGTCAGTAAGGAAACAAATTTGATGATGAGCAAATTGTGGAGCAGCAAACTCAAAGACTGAAAAGGTGTGCAGCTGAGCACATGGCCACGCCATGCCGGTGGGAGGGCCCAGGTCTACAGAGAATATAAAGCACTTCTACCAGTGTACAGAACGGAGAAGATGCAAACACGACAAGACCGGGTAGAGGAGCAAATGCAGATAAAGGCCTTGAGAGCAAATTAATTCTCTAGAAACCTTTTCTGATGAGCTGATCTTTGCATATCCTGTTCCTTCTGCTCGCAATGCTTTCTGCTCTTCTCCTTGTGGTAATTCCTACCCATCTGCTCAGCACGAGCACTACTTCTCATAGAAGCCTTCCCAGTCTCCCCCATCAGTCACGTATTTGTGTTTTAAACTCTATAGTGCTCTTCACTTCAAACTCATCACTTGATGTAACAGCCGCTCCTCCCATTAGACACCAAGTCCCACAAGGGCAGGAATCAGGTCTGGTTTTGCTCACTGTATCTCTAACATCCAGCTCTGACAGGCTGACAGTAAACATCTGAATGAGCTGAGAAATGAAAGGAACACAAGGAAAATGAAGCCATGATTTATGTTCTGGAAAAACAGTCATACAAACTGTTCTACAAACTTGGCTTGGTGGGAGTAGGCAGGAGAGAAGGCTGGGATGAGAGTGAGGGTAGAGTGAAGTCCTACAGATCAGCACAGCTCAAACAGCAGTGTGCACACGGAGCACTCACGTGGAGCATTTGGGACCTTATTAAAATTCAGACTGGTTCTGGTAAGGCTGGGTGGGGCCTGAGCATCTGCAGCTCTGTTTCCCAGGAGATGCCCCAGTTATTGATCTGGGGTTCATCCTGGGACACACAAATCACAGATAACTGGAAAAGCAGTACCAAATGTCAGGAAAGGGCTAGAGATGAAGATTTGTGTGTCATCAGAGAAAGGAGGTGACTCAGCTCTGACAGGGATGAGGACCAAGCAGACTGGAGGCCTGGGATTTGAGCCTCAGGGAGCTCCAGACACAGACCTGGTACAAGAAAACAGAACTGAAACATGGGTACAAAGTACATCTAGGAAGAAAGGGGTACACTCTGGTCCTTTAGCAACATATTTAAGGAGCCATAGGTACACCTCCATTCTTCTATAGATAAGGATAGGAACTCTCAAATATTAATAAAGAAAATTCCTGGGACCAGCAGTGCAAAAAACAATCATTTATAAAATTCCACCCACCCCACCACCTCCACCTTGCCCTTTTCAATGAAAATGTCATCAGGAAGCAGGGACGCATTTTCTGAGTAATACAAAGTTATCGAAAGACAACAAATGTGTTCCATAATGCTGAAACCCACACTGAATTTTAAATGTCAGTTTTGTAGCTTAGCTCTCGTCTAAGAAACTCAGGTGGGTAACTTTTTTTTTTTGTTTTAAAGATACAATAGAAGCATTACAAGTGTGGTTTTAGTGGGAGGCACACTTCAGAATCACCTGGGGAACGTTGAAAAAGTGAAGCCTGTGGCAGCCCCAGCCCATACAATGGCTGGGCATCCTGGATGCGGCACAGGTTGATTCCTTCTGGGAGGCCCGCAAGACAGGGCCCCGGCCTGGCAGTCAAGGCCTGGGGGAGTGAGTGGGCTTGCAGGGAACTCGGGTGTGTTCTGGGTGATGGAACTTGGGGCAGGGGCTCGGCAGAGTTAAGCAGTTCACCACAGGCATCTATGAAAGAGCTGGGCAGTTGTTCCACAGAGCAGCCAGGGCAGAGATAATCACACAGTGACCCTGGACAGAAAACAACAGTGATTTCAAACAGGAACCTGCAATGAAATCCGCATGGACCGAGAGCCAGGTGCCGGCACGGATTTACAAACTGCTCTTCCCCAGAGCAGCCACTCACACCTATGCAGGACGGGGCCCACGGCACATGAATTAACCAGTTAGCAGTGCTGCCCAGCATGGCCACACAGCCGGCTGGCCAAATAAATCAGACCAGTAACCAGAAAGAGAAGGTTTCCTTTCCTTACCTCCATCTCTACTGTCACATAAAGCGATGCAACCTAAGGATCTAAAGACAATGTCATAAAATGGTATTTTATGCAAGTTATACAGAAATGCTCTTTCTACATTTGTTCCTAAAGCAAACCTTGAGAAGTGTGCCTGATGTTAAACAACCACATAATTGAGCCATGCAGTGTTTTCAGGTTGTCTTGAAATTGTATTTTAAACAATTTGGTTGGACAATGGATGCTGACTAATTGCCCTGTTTCCTGTACCACAGCAATTGGGGAACTCAGGGTTTCTATGGCTTCCTTTATAAGCCTCTTAATGCTAAATAAAGCCACAACAGTGGCCTCTCTGACCACAAATGATCACAGCTGCAGCTGATGCCATTTACAACATGAAAGCCAAGCCCATTCTTTGCAGAATTAAAAACATTAAACAGTTTCACCTGTAGAATATTTTGCACAAAGCAAAAGAGGTTCTACTAGGAATGATCTTTAATCAAAGATCATACTTGGGGAACACAGAAAGAGTAACATCTCATTTTGTCGAGCTAGAGGGGTGCAGGCGATACTGGTAGAGCTAGAGACAGAACATACAAAATGCCTAGCACAATGTAGGACATATTTTATTTACATGAAGCTTCTGATGTTACCAGGTGCTGACTATAGAGTCCAGATTTTGTAGGGGTAGCCTTCCTTTAAACACCTTACAGATGATATATAAATGCTTTGTTTCTTAAAAATTGTATTCATTTAAATAAAGACAGCTTGCTAGAGTTAAAAAGTAATTTTTACAGATACATAATATACATCTGAACTTCTCTACAGACTCAGTGGAGTCAGAAGCAAAAGATGTCACAAATCGCCATGCCCTGGGCATGTGAACAGCAGTGCCTTTGGGGCAGGGGTTGGGGAATAGGTTTTCCACGCAGTCCCTCCTGGCTGTCTATGGCTGTCTCCTTCAGGCTAATCCATGGAGCTCCGTTCTTTCACAAGCTAGTGAGGCATGGACAGAAAGAAGAGAGACGTGCATTCCAACCCAACTCTTTCTGGATCATTTTAAAAGAAGTCTGCATTATGCTATACACTTGTTTTTTAAAATGAGGCACACCTCTAACTCAGAAATACAAGTTTCATTTTAAAAGGAGGAGGAAGAGGAGGACACAGAGGAGGCAGAAAGAGGAGGGGGAGAAGAG